AGGCCAATGCCAAAGTACTGATAGTTCTATGGAGTGAAGCTAGCAGGGCCCGTGAATTTGACTAGTTGCCGTATGGTGTAGCTCAGAGATTTCATTCCTTTGACAGTGAGTGCATTCTACACTTAACAGATGGGGGATTTCCATTCAGAGCAGAAAGTAAGAGGACCACGGCACGGTCTCAGTCCCGATAGGGCGATATCGGATGCTGCCTGGCTTTTGGAACATTCTGGAGGGAGATGCTTCAAATTGTTTCACACTCCTCCCTCCTCTCAGGGGTACTCCTTCAGATTTGTCTTTACATCTCTGTTGTTCACTGAGGAGGCTGCCGCCCTCATTCCACCCTATAGTGTTTGGAATAAACTGCAGGATTTGTAGCCTGAACTGAATAAGTGATGTAATTTCCCTATCGGCTTTTTGAATGTCTGCCTCGTTAAAAACTGCAGCATAGAGGGGAGGGCAGGAGATGGGTGGGAGCCTATGCACAGAGCAATCTCAGGAATATTTCCATTTTCTCAATCTTCTGCTATAGATCAGAGACCTTTAAAGAGCCAGGGTCCCCCTTTAATTTGTGTTCTGTCCCTCCGTCCCTTCACACAACATTGAATTCAGGGATTGTATTTCACTGTTTTATGTGGTTTTTCCTTAACCTAAAATTGAGGATGAAGTCAGTGTTGAGGCAGGGACGCTCTCACCTTCCCTGTACTGGTTCTAACAAGCTGGTCAGTAGCTGTCATGGCAATTGGAAGCATTAGTGCCATAAAGAGCTGAGGTAAAAGAGCTCTTCATTATTCCTTTAAAGATTAAGTTAAGGCTGCCAACTGCACTCAGACATACTGCCTTGAGTTAAGGCATGGACTGTAATTTAATTTTCCACAAGAAGTTAATGTGTCACCTTTTTCACCGACACTTCTCATTACTGCTGTAATGCAGCTTTTAAACCCAGTAGAGCCTTAGGTATTGGCTGGTGACTTCAGCTCTGTATGCTAAATGTAGCACGTTAAATGGTTTTGTAGCTGAATCCTCATTAAGGCTTAGTGTGATCATGCCAATGTTGGCTATGTAACATGGAGATCACAAAGGCCAGGCTCTGAGTCATTGGCTTTTCTCCCATCCCAGAATATGCCCTTCTGTCTCAGCCTCTTGGCCTCCATTCCTCCACCCAAGAGAGGCACAGAGAGGGAAAGGTTTCCTTACAGATGCATCATGAGCTGGAATTTTTGTACATCCTTTGGCTTCATGGTGTAGTCCATGTTCATTTCTCTGTACATACACATTGAAAGGGATAGCTGAGTCTGCTGAGACTTGCTGGTATTTGGAAACATTTGTTCTTGCTGAATATTTGTTCTTGTTTGTGTGTTATAGAATCATAGAACCATAGAGCTGGAAGAGACCTCAGAAGGTCATCAAGTCCAGCCCCCTGCTCTAGGCAGGACCAATCCCAACTAAATCAACCCGGCCACGGCTTTATGTGAGCATTCAACATTTGTCGCCTTTGCATGGCAGTGATGTAAATCAGTGCCTTAATCCCCTCACTTTCACCTTGAGAGTTATGTTCAAATACAAATGACATCACCAGTGGAATAAATTTGGTGTTCTCAACACTAATCCTAATAATTTGTCCACAACAGCAAAAATGCAAACATATGCACACAGAGACTCACACAATTTACTCCTGGTTGTGGGAAGGGCAAAGTCTGAAAAAGCAGACTTTGTTGTGAGGGTCTATGGTAGAGCTGCATTGGGAGCTCAGGAAAGGTACTGTAGGTTGGGAGTGAGGTGCACAAGCTGAGCCGTGTGGGATGTGAAGGGGGTCTGCCCGATGAACATTGGCAGAACGGTGTGAAGTCCTGTAACTGGAATAGTAGCAGCTGTCACTGCTCAAGATTGAGGTGCATTAACAGATTTGGCTATGCAGCATTTTTCTGCACTTCCTCTGTCATAGCTCTGTTTTGCTTGTTATATAAAGAGAGATTTTTTTTTTGACAACTTTTATTCTCATCTTCTAAGTAAAGTTAAAAAACATCAGAGGAAGTCTCAAAAAAGATGCAGGCAACTGGTGCAAAGCAGCTCCTTCCTGCTATGTTTGTATGAGGCTGCTGCTTCTTTGAAATGGGACCACTTGTAAATTGCTGTTGGCTGGAGACACTTTTGGATTATAGACGTCATGTGGTGAGAACTGACCTCTGCATTCTGCGTGATGGGTTGTGTTGCATTCTGATGACTGCACGTACAGTTTTATTGTTGATATTGTTCTGTTGCAGCCAGAACACTGAAACACCAACAAAAGCTGAATGATCACCACTTAACGACCAGACTTAAAAATTTAAATGAAGGAAAAAAATGATAGATATGTCACTAATAATGAGCACACCTTATGAATGACAAGGTAGTTCTGAAAAAGATGCTGATCAGCCTTTTCAAAGTGCTTGAATGGTAGTGTGCTCTCTATTCTGCCATTTGTTCTGCCTCAGATTTTGTGAGGTTTTCTTCCATCCTTAGTCACTCTTGTTTTTTGTAGCAGCTGGTAAAGTCCCAGTGTGGGTGTTTTGCCTGTACAGTAAAATACAACAAAGGCCCCATTTGTGTAGTCAGAACTGCACAGATAGACCTTGTGCCTATACTAAGTCTCATTGATTTTAGTAGGGCACCTCACAGGTACAGAGGTCCACTCATTAGGATCCTGTTGTGGGATTGGGACCTTATTGTGTCTAGCATACAAACTGCAATGCAAAAATGCTTTACAACATTTGGATTCTGTTGCAAATTTAGAGACGTATTACGATGTTTAGGAAAGAGGGGAGAGAGATGGTGACAGCAGAAATTTGCAGTGACCCAGTGAAGTGGAAAGACCCCTGTTCCAAATGGCTGGAATTCTAAATAAGAGGGCTCTCCCATTAGGGCTCCTCAGTAATCTGGATAAAGAGGTACTGGGTGCGTTTAAAGAGACAAGTCCATAAGGAAGCCATCATGGCTACGTCTAGACTGCAGGCTTCTTTTGGAAGAAGTTTTTCCAGAAGAGATCTTCTGGAAGAATTTATTTAGAGAGTGTCCACACAGCAAAAGCGCATCGAAAAAGCAATCTACTTTTTCAAAAGATAGCATCCACATTGATTGGACACCATCTCGCATTTAAGTTAAGATTACTGTGGACGGAGTGGCCACTACAGCACCTGTTCTTTTCCCGGAGGCCTCTATTGAAAGAAAACCCTCTGCCCCATCCACACATGCCTTTTTCCAAAATAGCTCTTTCAGAAAAAAGTTTCATCCTCATAGAAAAAGGTTTACCACTGTCAAAAAAAAAGTCTTTGGACTTTCTGTAGAAAGAACACAATTGCAGTGTGGATGTAAGTAGTTTTGTGGAAAAACGAACATTTTTCTGGAAAAACTCTGCAGTGTAGACGTACCCCATGTCTATTCAAAGTGAAGATATTTTAAATTTCATCTGGCAAAGGGAGAATGGTCTCCATTGATTCAGTTGAGAGGTTTGAGGATAGGTGTTGTGGAAAGCAAGAGAGCCACATTGTATGTGTCCATGGATAGGTCTGGTTTGTAGAGGCAATGGCACTATTGAAGGTGGCAGGATGAAAGGGACAGATCTGAGTTACTGAAAGGTTAAACAAGATTTATTTTTAACAAAATGTCCTGCTTCTAAAAGTACCTCAAATTACTCAACCTGAAGGAGATTTATAAAATCCCATTTATTTTTCACTCTTTATGCAGGTTTTTTACTACTTGCACTTCTCTTAGCTGGGAATGCATAAGCTGCCTCAGCTGGTTTAGTTTCTACTCGGTTTCACTGTCTGTTTCTCATGCAGTAGCACAGAGCTGCAATGCTTACATTGTTTTAAGATCAAATAAAATATTTGACTGAATTTAAAAACCAATTCATGAAAATATTTATTTGATGCTGCAAGTGAACATTGTCCTTTGAAGATTCCAGGGAAGAAGGTTAATAGCGAATAATCATCTCACTTCAAACCATGCCCCATAGATGTCCAAAATACTTTCCTTGGGCATTGGAAAGGCCCAGATTAATATGATCATGAGTAAAACTCCTATCTCTCAGCCACCAGTGTGGCAAGTTCAAGCAGTAGTCCAGACCATGTTATCTGAATCCTATTTTCCAGTTATCGTGCTGTCTGGTTCTCCTTTCCTCTGTATAATTTTGAATCTCAGTGTAGTTTATTTTGTGGTGAAAGCACATAACAGTACAGAGAAAGACCTAGGCCTCCATGTTCTGGGAATATTTTTAACCATTGGCCCAACATTTGGAGCAAGTTGGCATAGGTTCGCTTTAGTCCCATAGCTGCACAAAGTAATCGTTTTCCAGTGGAAACCAAGCTTAAAAAACTTTGTTCTGTTTCAGAACAACTTTTTGGAGCATGGTTTCTTAGAAGCAAACTCAAAACTCTGCCTGGGCCAGTTTTAAGGGAGATAGCTGATCAGACAATTGGCGTGGCTGGCCCGCCTCTGACTCATAATGAAGTGTGAATTGATGCCCCCTTTTGAGGGATGATGATGTTTGCAGCCACTTTCAGCAAGATGAACAGGTCACTGAATTAGGCTGGTCTGTGCTTAAAATTCACATTCCTGAACACCAGAGCTATGCTGCTCTAACCCCTGCTGTAGAATGGCTCCGAATGCTTCTGCTGATCAAGTTACCATTGCTTGAGGAAGTAGAGTTCCCACAGTGATGGAAAACCTCTTCCATTGCTGTAATCTGCATCTACACTATAGGGTTACAGTTTCAGAGCTAAGGCGCTGTAGCCATGTTGCTATGCCCCCGGTTGTGTGAATGTGGCCTAGAATGGGCAAACGTGACAGACTTGCTCTGATCACTCTCCTGAAGCAAAGTGAAAAACCCGGTGCAGTGTGTTCATTTATCCTTTGGTTTTGCTTTTTTGTGGGGGAAGGATCCTGCCCACTTGTTACCTCTGCTACTGAAAAGGTTGTAGTGGACTGGCCAAGAGCAATGTGTGTAATCCTGATTTGTGTTACAGTGATGGCATATATGCAGTTTGTGGAAGATTACTCAGAGCCGCAGCCATCCATGTTCTACCAGACACCTCAGAACGAACACATCTACCAGCAGAAAAACAAGCACCTCATGGAAGTCTATGGGTTCAATGACTCATTCAGCAGCACAGACTCATCACAAGAGCTAGCCCCGCCTCCTGCTCTTCCACCAAAACAGCGACAGCTGGTGAGTGACACTCTCCATATTCTGCTGTTTGACTTTGTTGTAACAGCTTTGAGAGAAATGACCTTTTCACTCTCTGCAGCTTGTGTTCCTGGAATACTGCAGATCTGGGCTGCTGATATGTTTACATTACCTGGGTTACGCTCCCTGAAATCTTAAATTAACATTTTTTCAGACATCTTTCATGACCTAGTTTAACCACCATTCTAGATGCCAGCCCTCAAATTCAGAGTACCCCCCATGAGCTTTGCAAAATCAAAATTGAGCATCAAAGGCCTTGCCTACACTGTGGTTAAAACCATGCTGACTACTGTCCTGTTCAATCACATTTGCTGCTAAGACCATGGCAAGTCCAGACAACATCTTTTCCTGATGGCTCTGATAGCTAAACCATGTTACAGACGAAACATTCCTAGTTAAAGTTCTCAGCCACTGGTCAGAAAACTGGCTAGGAGCAACCATTTACACTTAGTTCTTCCTTGTATAGTTTGTTGTAAGAAAGATAGTGGCTGATACCATTAACAAACCCATCTGCTCTCCACAGTGCCCCTACTGGCTTATTAACAACTAGGTGTCTCCTGTCATTACATATTCACAAAGAACTAGGGAACCATTCCAGTTCAATTTCTACCATTTTGGCTTAGTTTAAAACAGGAGTTGTCCTTTTTCTGGTCAACAATGATATTTGTGATGACTTGAGTTTTTTGCTGCTTCAGAACAGGAATTCTGCTTGCTCATTTTCAAAGAAAATCCCACCGCATTCATCTTGCCGTTTTAGTCCTCTGCACACAGCCAGTGAGCTAGAATGCCAATTTTAAACACTGTGGATGAAATTCTGGTCTTATTTAAGTCAGTGGGACTTTTTTAGTTGATTTCAGTGAATCCTGGATTTTACCCAGGGTTTTTTTTTTTGTGGGGGTGGGAGGGTTCTCAACATGTTTTTCATGGTGTCCTCTTTTTACTTTGGCCTCCTCACTTCAGGGATTTTATTCCTTTTAAGTAAAACAAACAGATTAGTATTGGGGGATGAGGGGAAACCAGCACCTGGGCCCAAGGAGCTAATTCCTATTGCTGCAGCTGTAGAAGCAATGCTGGAGTCATTGTAAAGAATGGGCCACAGACTGCTATTGCTTAACTTGATAAGTTTACTTCAGGCCTTCAAGAGGTGATACTTGCCTCCCATGTTGCATGAAAGAATCATTCATGTTGATCCCTGTTGGTGTATTTTCTCACCTCTTATCTGTGCTCACTTTGACTATCTCACAGCATTTTTCTCCATCAAAGGGAAGCCTGAGAGGTCCACACTGAATGTTCAAAGCATCTCTGTTCCCTGGAATTATAAGCTTAAATCCTAGCAGGGTGAATTTGTCTTTGAGGCAGACAAATTGAGTGTAATGCAATTTTACTGTGTGTGGAGGAGGACTCCTTGACTGAGACATTAAAACTAAGTCAAGTCTGCTATTAAACACCCTGCTAGTTAGAATAGGTGAATTCAGGCACTTTTCCTAATTTGTCAGTAGAAATAAAGTATTTCCTATAGGCTCTACCACAACTGTGCTGCTCTTTAATAATAATCTGGTTGACCAAGAGATCATGGTTCTGCCTTCTGGGCATTCTTTACACCTTACAAGATGATACCCTCCAGGTAGTGTTTGAGGTTTTCTAGGAAGTGGTGATGCTAACTCTCCAAGGCTGCGTCTAGACTAGATCCCTCTTTCGACACAGGGATGTAAATTAGACACTTTGAAAGTGCAAATGAAGTGGGGATTTAAATATCCCATGCTTCATTTGAATACTCACGACATGGTGCTTTTTAAAAAATGGCAGGCTTTTTCAAAAGATCCAGTACTCCTCCTGTACTTAAAACAGAGATTGCGAGTTGAAAAGTGCAGAAGGGCAGAAATAGCTATTATGCCTAGCGTCCTTCTGACACACCAGACATACAGGAGATCAGGAGATTTTTTTAATGGCTGATTCTCCCGCATACGAAGTATGCTAGAATGGTCCGTGTGGTATGTTTTGTTGTTCAAAGGATAGTATTTCCCTCTTGTGAAACTGGGATATAATTTTGGGTAGGAGTGCGTTTCTTTAAAACATTGAAAGTTGTACCTTACCCAGGATCCCCACAGCGCCTGAGAAGACACATCTCTCAGGCTGGAGAGACTCCGTTTTCCAGGTGACTGGCTGACAAAGTAAACAGGTCACATAAACAGCCTGCCTAACATCTGGAAGCAAGGGCCAATTTCACTGCTTGGTAGGGCTGCTACTGTGTGCCCATTTCTTTGACCACCTCTGGCCTGTGCTCCGTTGGGAGAGGCTGTGGAGAAGAGCTCACCTGTGCACCTATGAACTGCCCAAGTAGCTATTTGTGTAGTAAGCCACTTTAATTGCATTGTTTTAAAATAGCCTTTCTCACCCTTTATTCATAGCCTTTCTGTGCTTGCTGTCTTTGTTTTTTGCATCTCTCGCTTTCTCTCTCTGGCTCAGCAGGCCTCCTATGCTGCCTCTTCCTTCTCTTCTGTCTCCTACTGTGTCCAGCAAACTAAAGTGCCCTTCACTCCCGAGGACACCAGTGCCACTCAGGGCCTCAGTATGTCCATCTCTAACTCCTTTCTCAACCGGCACAGCTCCTTTCCTGTGCACTCGGTGAGTCACTAACTGCACTTCTTTACCCGTGTGCGTGCATGCATGCGTGTGCTGGTGAAATGCTCCTAGACACATTCTGCGCTAACTGACCCAGGAGCAGGTAAATTGGTAGGCTCTCACTGGGGCTTTTGATTGCATTTGGTAATGAGCCTAGCTGGAAGAATCCCAGTTTGAATCTACCTAATGGCCTTGGGCGGGTTGGCCTTTCAGTGTCTTGTGTGTATTTATGGCCTAGGTGGGGGAAGAGGCTCAGACTGCTATGGCATACTCCTTCCGCTGTGCTTCGCCCAGAGCAGTGCGCAAGTGACCCTGTGAAATACTCTGACCTCTCTGGATAAATGCAATGATGAGTACTAGTTAATTAGGTACTGCTTCATGCATCTGGCTTTTGGAGAGATAATGAGAAGCTGTCTCTTTCGTGAGTTTGATCCATTCAGGTGCATGGAACAACATGTGCAGCTCCTGGTTCTTTGTTTTTTTCCAGGAAGTGGTCTCTAGCCAGTCTCCTTTCCCATTTCTCCTTGTCTGATTCCCTTAAAATATCTGTAGTCACAGACAAGATCAATACTTGTTTATTCAGTAAATATACCTGCTGCCCTGAAGAGTGAAGTGGGGGAATGAATATATTTTATAGCATCTCACTAACAATTTGGGTGGAGGACCATGAAGAGAGCATGGAATGATTTAAATCAAAATAAGCGCCATCTACAGGGCACTGTTTAAATATGTGATATAAACTGTTGAAATTAGGTAGCAATAATAATAATGAAACATTCATTTTAATGAAGTTAATTTTCCTCTGTCTGACAGCAGGGTTCCAACAAATGGTTCATCAGCATGAGATTCAATGAATGCAGAACTATATGGTTATGCTGTAAATCTCTGCACAACTATAATAAGAATTATAATTAACAAGTGCAAACAGGCTATCGTTAAAGGTGATCTATATCTACTATATATTTTGAAGAATGAGTTTGTGAAAAATAGTCATACTTCACTATTACCTACAGAAACCAAATTCTGCATAAACAATCCTGCCACTTAAATTAGTTGAATGCACTACTTTTTACACCAGAATATGCTGGGTGAAAGGTTTAAATAATTATTTTTGGTTTTCATCTGAAAAAAGTCATGCCTCATGATTAGATTTCATAAACACATTTGCAAACAAAATTAAAATCGTCAGCTATTCAACTGTCATTTTAGTGCAAATAACATTTTTACTGTTACAAATCGCAAAATAATTCAAATTAGTTACAAAAAGAGTAATGGAAGCTTTACAAATTTCTGATTCAAATTTAGTGCGTATGATAATTATTCAATAAAATGAAGAATGTTTGAAGTTGAAATCCTACACATTTAAAACTGTTTTTACTTCCCTTTTGCGAGCACATTAATAAAAAATTCTATTGCATATATTTCATTTCTTGAACTTTCCTATAAGTATAATCTACGCAAAATTACTTTGCCCAGTCAACAACAGGCCTCACCTGCTAGTGCTTTATAAATTATAGACCACTCTTGGAGGTTCAAAATGTTTAGACAATAACTTAAAATTGTTAAAATATTTGAGAATTAAACCTTCTTTCTTAGCCTGTGCCAGGAGCTGACTTTAGTGTTCTGAACTTCAGCAAAAGTTGTTGCTGAAGTTACTATGTTCTAGTTTATGGATGTGAAAGCAGTATGTTAAGTCACAATAGCTATACTCATGAAATAGGGAAATATTGGAATCCTTGCATAATAGACAAAGAAACTTAGTCAAAGAGAGGTGAAGTAACTTTCCCAAAGTCACTCAGCAAGTAGCAGGGCCAGGAACAGAACAAATTCTGATGTGTAGTCCTGCGTTTTAACTCCTGCACTGTTTTCAGTTTGAATTGACTGTTGTAGTCAAAACACTGCATGGTAAAACAAAGTCTTGGCAAGTAAAAATGCTTCGTTTACTTTTAAAATAAACTTTTTTTTAGCAATTCTAAGGTTATACATATGATCAGTTAATGATTTAAAAATACAAACAGATTTTTTTATTTTTAAAACCCTCTTAGATTATCTTAAATGGGCACTGTTTACTTTATGTTAATTTTAAGTGTTTTTCTGGTCAATTAAAGGGTTTTTTTCAGTAAGGAAGAAACTAGCTAGAGCAGGGGAAACAGTGCCATTGACTATACACAGAATACTATCAAAGGCAGAAAGTATCCTTTTTTCCCCCAGAAGTGCCTGTGAATTGTAGTAACATGAGTTGTTGCTTGTGGCTGTAGAAGGTGCAGAGATTTCAAGAGAAATAAGAGTTTGAATATCCCTTTGTCTCTGAGCTACAAAATGCTAATGTCTTTACATGCTTCATGGCTGGCCCATATAAC